ACTATCCGCGTCGTAAAAGTTGTTCGGTCGTTGGCGGCAGTGTCAACAGTACGAAGGGCATTGGAAAGAGAATGAAAAGAGGTTTGATCGACAGAAAGAGACGAGCTCGATTCGAAACCTTTGTTAAAATTTTGTCTTCGCAAATGCTTGAGTGATTATCGCGCGACAGCAATGTCTATGACTACGCAACACCGCGGCGTAATGGTATAGAACGAAGATTTGTCTCAACGCAATTGTTTCCACGATGATGAATTGCTGACTCGAATTCGTTTATCCGATGATGAAATCGATTGTTTTTATCAATTGTTATCATACAGTGACAGTGGAACCGAGCGAGACGACGTCGAGAGCGGCAACAATGACAACAAAGACGAGAGTGGAGGACGAACCGATGGAAGAAGGAGAAGAAGGAAATTATTACTACAACGTCGCGTGGTATGAAGACGATGATTGCGCGAACGACGAAATCATGAATCGCGCAGCCGCGTATTTGGGCGTGGTGGCAGCGCGAGAGAAAGGATCGATCGCTGCGGTGACGGCGCAACCGCCGCGAAGAATTTCGTTGGATCGCGAACGAGTGGCCAATTACCTCTTGGTGATTCTGCAAGATTTTCGCGGCGGTAATGGTTGCAGTGACCGCCCCCAGTGACGATCACCATCCCTGGGGTGACAAGGGGTTCGAAGAAGAATACTCTCGGTAAAGCGCTTAGCGAAGTGTTGCGCATTTGGATCAGCGCCGATCTGGACGAATCCGAACGTTTGGTCGCCAGAGCGGTGATGACGGAAAATGTCGGTTATCTGTTGCGCATGTATGCGGACGATGTAGTATTAGCACTCATCAACAAAAGACCCAAGGAAACGTTGGAACGCTTGGTCAATTGTTGCGTCGCGTTCAGTTGCAAATTTCTATTCGCAAAAACTCCATTGTCGATGAAAATCGTCGACTCCGCGCCAGCAAACGTCATCGCGCCCTCAGCGTTTGCGACGATACCGCTGAGAACGACGACGACACGACGGAGAATATCCTTTTCACCACGTCGCATCTCGTTCTGGATTTCACGTCCAGCGGTGTACGTCAAACCACGGAAAAGAGTTCTGCGATTTCGCTGCTGTCGCCGATATACAACGATTCGACAATGGTTCACGCGTGACGAAGCGTACCGCGATGTCACAGAGTACACACCGCTGATGCGCGAATTACCGGTCTTGCGCAAAAGCGATGTGAAGATGGCGCATAAATTCCACGTCGCTACGTCGAACGTCGTCAATGATGACGAAGAATAGCGCGACGAGGTCTCTTCTATAAAAAACCCGACGTCGCGTTGCGCAAACAATGTACGAGCTCAAGTCTTGAATTTTTACGGTCGATGGTCCGTGGTGGAGCCGATAATTTATCGGTGTAACATCAGGACGATTCGATAGGTGATGGCTGCTGACGATCCTCTCGTCATTCCATTCGCCACGACTTCAAACATGTGGGATATGACTCGCGAGTGCTACAATCTCACAGAGAGAGACATATCTTACATATCGTATCTCGACAATGTTACTTTGTGAACATGCCATAAAATATACAGTAAAACTGACGTACTCTTTCGCGCAATTTTACTCGTGAGTTCCAACGAACAGTTTCTTCGTTTTTGTCTCGCGCACGCGCGACGACTGATCGAACGGCGCGGCGCGATGATTCTCTCCATGACGTGGTTGCGCAGATGCGATTTGTCCGGCAATGCGACCACCGCCAATGAGAGCGTCGGTACGGAGGATGATTGCGACGAAGACAACGGGGACAAAGCGGAATTCAGGCGTCAATTGTACGATTTCAACGATAAAGACAACGAAAGGAGAGACGACAACGACGACAATAAAGACGAAAGGAAAGTCGAAAACGAAGAGGAATACGACGAGGAAAATCACGATGCCATTGGGTTGTTGCATCCCACAATCACAACCACGAAAGACAAAGAAGAAAAATTGTTGATGGATGCGACGGTGACGGTGGACTCGTCGGCAAAAAGATGATTGCAGAATGTGCTTTTGAGTACATTTTTTTCTGAATTATTGTATTTCCTGCGTTGAGTCAGAATATGCAATCGCATATTCGGGAGTTGTGGGTCGAAACACTTACAGATTGCTCCATCTGTGTGTGCCGTAAGAATGGCTGCATGCTATCGAAGAAACGAACGGCGGCGGCTGTGTTGTGAAGCGACAACGATGACTGTGAATTATATAAATAAAAATTAATCATTTATTGAAAAGTTTGACAATTCAACAATCCTTGAATCTAATCCTCTGACTCGAATCTCGAAAGGGCTGTGTACGCGCTAGCGTTCATTCCTTGAGCGTCCACTTAGCAATACTGGATCAATTTTTTATCCAGCGTCAATCCTTGAACCTGATACGTGGTGATCACGTCCTAAACGAACGGAAACATATAGATGAGACACGAAGTGTTCCTCCAGCCCGACGAAAACTTGTAAGATCGAATTTTTGTTTTCGTCAATCGATAAAAAGCATTTAGATCGTCCTCCAATCACAGGATCACTCGATCCTTTGTTTCGATGGCGTGCACGGTCACTTGCGATCCGACTTGCAACAGACAGGACGGATACGCGTGCACTATACGGTAAGTCACGCTTGCGAAAACGAAGAGTTCCTCTGCGAAAGGATCGTCTTCGACGACGGTGCCGCGTCCAGCTTTATTCGGCGACGTTGTCGCTTTGATCTCATGGAACGTTACAGTGTTCGTTATTACGGCTCGCTTGTATCTGATGCACGGAACACCGAGTTCGCTCAACAAAACCTATCGCCCAATTCAAATAATTCACCTTCGCGTTCGACGCGACTATGGCGGGCGGCATCAGACTGCGATTCAACGACGATGAGGCCGCGACACTTCTTCGACGGCGCGACGACCATTCGTCTATCAACGGATGAAGGTCGATCGTTCGTCGCACTGGCAAACCCTCCACCGTGCGAAAGCAAATATCATCGTTGCGCGCGTCGAACATGCCGATTTGCGCCAGCAATTTTCGATCCTTTGTCCGTCCGTTCTCGTACATAAAACATACGCGCTCGCAGGTCAAAAGGTTTCGCACCGTTTGATCTTCTCTATCGCCGATAGCCGATTGTTGACAACAATTGCCGACGACGATCACCCAACGATCGTTCAATATGGCGTGCAACAAGTTACCGAGCGATCCCTCGATCAGAAAGTACTCATCGATGAAGACGAGTTCGCCTCGTCGCGGCGGCGGTCGGATCGATAATAATCGTTTCAACAGCGAGATCAAGCCTTTGCTTCTCATATTCATCCACGCGTGCAAGTTCTTCACATTGGCTATGCGCATCAGATACGTGTCAATAATGCAGGCCGTGAGTCGCGCGTGGTGATCGAAAAGTCTCAATGTCGCGTCGTTGAAATTGCGCTTCTTCACCGGATAAGTCATTCGATGAAAGCAACTCAACAGCAGACCGTGAATAAACGTTTTACCGGCACCGGCCACGCCGTTGATAACTATCTGTTTGGTCGAATGAATTCTTTTCGCCTCGTAATCGGAAAACATTTCGTCCAACACGCCGAGCACGTGTCGTTGCTCCGACGTCACATTGGCGGACCCAAACACATCATCGAACGATTCCACCGCTGGAACCGGACGAAGTATTGCGATTGTCCTACTCGCAATTTTTGCGAAACGATTGCATGGCGCGATATTCCTTACCGTCGTGCTCCGCAGACACGAGGGAACAATGAACGATCCGCCGTTGCATTCCGATTAACTTCCTCTCGCCGACGGTGTTCGCAACAACGAAGGATATCGTATCGCACCGTCGCTGTCGAGAATCTATCGATATTACGCCCGTTCCGTTCAAAGCCATAAATTTCTCCTGCGGATCATTGGACACGAGAACGTCGACGTCGCACAACCTTTGCAAAAAATCTACATCGAATTTCGAATCTCTCCTTCCGGCGACGAAGTCGCCGTAAACCTCGCGAAAGTCTGGTGATTCTGTTGTTCTTCTTGACGACATCATCACTGCGCGACGGTAATATTTGTCAAACAACGGCGATGGAACTGCCGCCGCGTTGGACGTGGCGTCATTTTCGTTGCAGAAAATCAACGCTCCGCGATTATCGGCGTCCCACGCGAAGTTCATTCGATTGCCGTCGTAGTCGATCAGCATCGTACACATAAGACAGTATCATTGAAAAACAGATGCAGAATTGCCAGAGATATTGGATGACTTTCGCGCGATTCAACGATCTCACCGATGGATATTTCGTCGTCGTTCGACGACAGAGAGACGTACGCGTTATTTATGTCGAGCAAAATGCGCAAACGCAGCAAAGCCGTGTCGGAACGTTCGCGCACGCCAAGGTCCGTGGTCTCGCCGTGTCGAAGCGTGTCAATCGCGCGCATATAACGTTCGATCATACGTACGAGTCTCTTCGATCGACCGACCGCGTTTGTTATCACTGAGTGAGTTTCGTTCTCTCTCTTCGACGCGATGAGTACGGAAGACGACGGTGCCGTTGTGATAGTATCGCCACCGTTGATTTTCTCGCGGACGAAATCGTTGGACGAGAGCAAAAGTATCGTCGGAGCAATGTCGTGGCATTGTTTCTTCTTTTCGTCGTCGTCAGTAGCAACACGGCGCAAATGTAGAACGAACGTCAGTCAAATATCCGATAATTCTTCTTTCGTGAGCATTCGCATCGCCGTCGCGAGGACGTTCTCGAGACGCGTCAAACTCGACTGTTCTACGAGAATCGTCGACATAACGCTCCCTTCAAAGAAAAGATAATTTGTGGAAGAGTAGTCGAGCAATATATGTTTTAACGCATGATGCGCCTGGCGGGGTGCGTGGATCGGAAAAGAAATTAGTCCTACCCGCCCTCTGCACCCCGCCTGGCGCCCGGGCTCCGTGTCGCTCCGCGAGATGTGGTGGTACTCACACTCTCGCGCGTAATCCTCCGCAGTCGACATTGGATCGTGCGCGTAGACGCACGTTCTCTCTCTCTCTCTCTCTCTCTCTCGTCGTTGTCGTCGTCCCGATGACGCGAGACTACTGAAGAGAAGGTGGCGGTGAGCGGGCGGTTTTATTCGTGGTTGCGCGGGCAGTTTATCTCTCTCTCTCTCTCTCTCTCTCTCTCTCTCTCTCTCTTATGATAATATTTATATATATATATTGACGCGCGTGTGGTATTTGTTTGATATGAAAAAAGGGGAAAGAGGATGAGAAAAGAAAAAAAGAAAAAGAACAAAAAATGGTATGTTTAATTTTTTTATTGTATATGTAGAGCCGTAGCATCCGGCGGTACTTTGTAATGTCCCCACGGGAGAGTCGCGCCGCTCGCGGAAACGGTTATTACGTAACGCTTGTCGTCGTGCGGGCTGAGAGCGAGTTTTCTCTCCGATACGGTGTATACTTCGTGCAATCTCGATCTTATGCACGATTGACGGATCGTGCGTTCCGTCGCGTCGCGCAAACATCGCGTGTAATCGTCGAATGTAATTTGCTGCGCGACGATGTGTCTGTGCACTTTTTTTATTATCTTTGTGTCCTTGCGACCGTCCACCCGATAGGCGTACATCTTCGCTCGTAATGCACCGAATTCGCTCATGACGGCGACAAAATTTTCGTCCTTCACAAGACCGGGCACGCGCTTGTTTGTGCGCGGCATATCGTACGCGTTCGCCGTCGAATAGTCGCTCGTGTCGAATCGCGCCAGATTGCGCCGCATACACTCATATGGATTCGTCGTGTTTGTGTCGATGTGATAAGTCAGACTGTCGGTGTCGGTATACAATAGACGACAGCACGATGAGGACGATGACGAACCGTTATCATTAGTATTACTATCCTCGATGTGGCGTGCATCGTAATGTACGCGTTAATCGATAATAAACGTTCCCCCTCTACCAACTACCGCCAGTCCAACGGTGAGATGACCGACACGAGAAAACGAAAATCACACGACAACGACGACGTTTCAACAAAAGGACCCGTTATAAATAACAACGGTGGTCAGACACGAAACAAAAAAATTAACAATAAATGGAACAAGTGAGTTTTATTATTATTGTTTACTTAAAAACACTTTTACTCACATATCGAGTTACTACTACTACCATTTGTTCACTAGAAACGATGAAAGTGCCAACATTCCAGTTCGAATCTTAACAAGAAAATACCTACTGACGAAAATGTGTTACAAATTCATTGAAATAGGAATCACAGCGACGCTTCCATCCCACGTAAGCGTCGTCATAGGCAACAATTACGGCAAGGAAATCTCGCCCTCAGCAACCGTTTAGAAAAACTTCCTCGAGCTAGAATCAAACGTGATGTCGAGTCTACGAGGCAGTGGCAAAAATGTTAGAGGAGGAACAGGAGATTTCCCCAACGATATTCTGATCGAGAATTTAACGCTACACTTCGGAAAAATCAATAATTTACCATTACTTACACTGGAAACATACACGACTTGTCGTCTGTCCGTGTCGCAAGCCACCGTTATCAATATATACAAACTCAAACATTGTATAAACCGCATCACCAACTTAATATGTGCAATTATTAATAACGCGAAATTACGACAATTTCTCGACATTGCATGCACAATACCCGATAATGTGAATATCACTAAAGTAATACTAAACAGCGATTTGGTCGGTCGAAACAATATAATCGACTGCAAACTCGTCGCATTGATTTTCAACAAATAAGAAAATATACATTTAAGATTTTTTACTTAACCATAAAGCAATTTCTTTTTTATCCTCTACGTGCGCGCAACGAATCGCAGAATATTTTTATAAACAAAGTTTCATCATTAAATAAAAGAATTCCACAAATAAATGTACACAACATATATTTTTTCTCTTTATTTTTTTCTTTTATGCATAAACAATATAAATACATATATATTTTTTTCTTTCATACATAACAACAGTATATTATTTTCATTTTTCTCTCTCTCTCTCTCGAACGACTCCAGTCAACGCTTTCCATTTTGCCCGCCAATTTCTTTCTTTTTTCGATACATCACGCCTAGAAAGCAATTTTTTTTTTACGTTTCGATGCTCGAACTTAGAAATTGTGTCCTTATTTTTGCATATTTCCATCAAGTGCGAGGCTCCCGTCCTAAAATATCTTTAGTAAGGTAAATTTGGAGACGAACGAGCTCAGTGCCCCTCTTACCCGGTGATTTCACCGTGAACACGCGTCGATTCTCCACCTTTGCGATATATTGTTGCACGCAATCCCGCGTGATTTCGCGACAATCGTCAAACAATGCGTCCAATCCACCACCACTACCCTTTTCTCCATCAACGATCTCCATTGCTTCCTGCTTTTCCTCAACAACCCTCTTATCAATTATCATCAGCACCTTCATACCACCACCATTATCATCGACAAAGGCGACTCGATTAGCAGCAGAGGTTTCTATTAAATTCGACATATACTCCTTGTAATAATGAATCCAATCATAAAAACTCTCCTTCGAGAGAATCCCATTAACGTAAGAAGCCAAATACAATTTTCGAGGCGTATTCTCACGTATAACCTTAATCATCTCATCGACGCTACAAGGAGCGTTACGCGAAGGTCCGTTAAACAGCCACATTTCTTACAGATTAACCAACACGTCGCACAAAGCGGCCGCTTCGTTTCTGCACCGATCCATATTCGCGACGTGTCGAACAGCATCAATTTTAGACTGTATGCTGCACACGGCAGCCGTCATCAATCGAATGTTACGAAGCGTGATTTCCGACAACCACAATTCGCGTAACAAATCAAGAAGAGTTAAAAGAAACGGCATTACTCCCTCCTCATCCTCCTCCTCCTCCTCATCCTCCACCTCTTCCATCAGCTCTCCGTTATTTTTATTACGATCATTATCATCGATCGTTATTATTATCTCATCCTTCCTTTTCTTTCTCTTTCTTTCTTTCGTTTGATCTTCCTTAACATTATCATCATCATCAAACTCAATCGATATCAATGCTCTTTCAACGTCGGCTCGTTGCTGTTGGTCCAAAGTAACGATGCATCGCAGCGTATCAATACTCTTCTTCATATATTTGTTACGTGACAATTCGATTGGCTCGTTACTCTCCATCGTTCTCTTTCTCTCTCTTTGAAACTATTCCCTATCTCATTTCACCCCCCCTCCCGACCACTCTATGGAAAAAAAACAACAAAATATTACGTACGTCAAACCAAAACAAAACTTGCTATTGTTCTATCCACTTCTGCTAAGCATACCCTGTATATACCTCCTTTTCCGGAAAACAGAAACAGATTATCTATTCTCTTTGTCTCTCTCTCTCCCGCAGACAGGATACACTTTTCCCGCAAAACGCACACACATCAGTCGTTATACACGAAACCGCCCATTCTGCGAAAAAACTATTTCCTTTCTTTATTTAATACGCACTGTTTCAACAGGATGTATTTTTTTTTTTACACATATCGCATATCCCGCGGATATAAAAATTAAATCATCGTCGAGATATCGCGCGCGGCGTGATCCGCATCCCGCGGATAAACCATCGGCTCACCGTCGCCTTCTCCTCAGTCACGGATACGCGACGATACGCACGTCATCGAAGAGGAGGACGCGCGCGTGTGTTATCGCAGCGACACGGAAGACATTTCGCGGAGCGACACCGAACTCGGGCGCGGGGCGGGGTGCGGGGAGCGGGGAGGATTAAGTTCTTCCCCGCTCCCCGCACCCCGCCCGGCGCACCTTGTGTTAGAACATATTGGGTTGTTCGGAAAGTAATTTCGTTTTTTCCCGACAGAGGATTTAATTGTATTTTTTCACAGCTAACTTCACACTTAAGTCGCATTGTCATTATATGTTTTGACAGCTGATATAGCAAGGCTTGTGTGTGAATAAGTTCAATTGATTTTACGCAGTAGTTTTTGGTCGGTGCCCTTTTAAATATGGAGAGCAATAAGCAGCATTTTCGTCATATTTTACTTTTTTACTATAGAAAAGGTAAAAATGCTGTTCAAGCCAGAAAGAAATTAAGCGATGTGTATGGAGAAGATGTGTTGACAATACGCCAGTGCCAGAACTGGTTTGCAAAATTTCGATCCGGCAATTTTGATGTCGAAGATGCATCACGTTCTGGAAGGCCGGTTGAAGCTGATAAAGACGCGATAAAGGCATTAGTTGATGCAAACCGACGAATAACAACACGTGAGATCGGTGAGAGGTTAAATTTATCGAATTCAACTGTTTATGACCACCTGAAAGGCCTCGGTTTTACCTCGAAGCTCGATATATGGGTTCCCCATGTCCTCACGGAGAGAAATTTGTGTCGTCGCGTTGACGTCTGTGCTTCACTTCTCAAACGTCACAAAAATGATCCATTTTTGAAGCGCATCATTACTGGGGACAAAAAATGGGTTGTATATAACAATGTCAAACGCAAGAGATCATGGAGCAGAAAAGATGAACCGGCTCAAAGCATTTCAAAAGCCGATATCCATCAAAAAAAGGTGATGCTGTCTGTTTGGTGGGATTTTAAAGGAGTCACTTTTTTTGAGCTTTTACCGGATAACACAACAATTAATTCGGAAGTCTACTGTCATCAGCTGGACAAACTGAATGATGCACTTCAACAGAAACGGCCAGAATTAATCAACAGAAAAGGTGTAGTGTTCCACCAAGATAATGCGAGACCTCATACAAGTTTGGTCACTCGCCAAAAGCTTTTACAGCTTGGATGGGATGTATTGCCACACCCACCATATTCTCCAGACCTGGCCCCTTCGGATTATTATTTGTTCCGGTCACTGCAAAATTTTTTGGACGGTAAAACCTTTACCTCAAATGAACACGTCAAAAATCACCTGGATCAGTTTTTTGCCAGCAAAGACCAAAAATTTTATGAGCGTGGAATCATGCTACTACCAGAAAGATGGCAAAAGGTGTTGGATCAGAATGGCCAATATATAATTTAATTAAATATTTATTCATTATACGAAGATTGTCTTTCATTTTCACCACAAAAAAACGAAATTACTTTCCGAACAACCCAATATATTGCTCAACTACTTGGGGGAATGACGGGCTTAGGCTTCAACGCGCTACAGTCAAGAACGTTAAATCCCTTCAAACGTTTTTTGTCTCGTTTCTTTCCCAATTTCTCTCTCGTTCATTTTCTACTTTAAACTTTGTCGATGCAGAAGCCCGCCAACCAATACTGATCAGGGAATCGTAAACGAATTCGTACTCATCATCTTCGTGCTCGGTGATGAAATTCGATTTTTAGTCGATCCAGTCGTCCGGATACATGGCTATTTTCGGTTGGCCGTTTTCCATCAACATCACTGTGTCGCTTGAGTTACCCACGGTTATAATCGGTGGATACACTTGTTCTATCTGGTCCGTCGCCGACAGGTCCTCGCGATAGTTTTGCGTCAGAGTACGTTTTGCACAATCCCAGTGCAGTTTGAAGAAACCGTTCGATTGATTCTTCCATGATTATGGACGGCTTGCCGTGAAGTACGCCGGATACGTTTTCGTTATCTTGATCTAAATGTCGATCGTGTGTTTCTAATAGTCGTAGAGCACGTACTCGTCGATCCAATATCGAACGTACACCTTTTTATCCGTTGAGAATTGCTTGTTCGGATCGTAGATCATATGCAGACAATTGTAAAAGTGACGAAGGATGCCTATATTCCCGTACGCAAACACGAAACCGACCCGCAATGTTTGCGAGGAGCGTTTTGGACCGCGGACAAAAGTGTAGGTTGTGTTGGTGCGCGACGGTATTCGGCATCTCACACTCATTTCCCGCGTTTCCGCGTCGTTCGGATAACGTTGAAGAACAAAACCGATTTCGGGGTAAATTGTCTCATACGTTTCATCAGAGATGACGACTCGTCCGCATTGAACCTAATATTGCACCATCGTGTCGTTCGTTCGGTCAGATTCGTAATATGCTATCCACGGTATTTGACCACGCAACGAAAACGCGTACAATGCGCATGAACAGATCGGTAGGTATCACTTCTATGCCGTACTGTCCTTGATAGTGAATTGCCGCAGACGCGCGTCGCGCGTCGCGCGAATGAGAACAGATTCCGTCGTAACCTATCGTTCGATTTCCGAGAATGCGCTGAGACTTGTGCCAATTAAAAATGAAATTGCGAACCTAATTGTCAAGTCCTACCAACGGCAGGGACGTTATGGTCATTTCCGACAGATATCCGTACGCGATCACGTTTGTGTGAGTTATGTACAAAGAATTGATGTACAAACCTTCGTTCTTGCGATGCTCCACCACGGGAAATTTGGTGTAAGACTCAGCGTAATGATAATCCTCGCTTTTGGCCGCCTCTTTCGCGCTTCCGCGAAAAAATGCGCCGCTATCCACAGTACTACCTTGTATACCGCGTTCACATTGTCCCGTTTTATGCCCAAGGATTTGCATGGATTCTTGATGATCTTCAGTATCAGATCTCCTGCGAATCCTCGCTCGTCGACATTATCGGTCATGAGCATGAAGTAGAAGAGCATCAATGTGGAAGAAATGCTGAATTCGTACCAGTTCTTTCCCCAGGGAAACTCTCAATTAAACTTTTCGTCCATCGCTTCGGCATATAAACAAAATCCGTCGTTACTGTGGTGATTCTTTTTCGTTTTGTCGTCGTAGAGTTTACGCT